GCATGCTGGGGACGGGTGGCAGGGTCAGGAGCCCACTCTACTTCCCACCCAGCAGCCTTCAGTCCCCCACCCCCCCATCAAGAGAGGACCTCCCGGCTCTGCTCCACCATGCCAAACGCCAAGGGACTTCACAAGATGGGGACCCTCCCTGAGCGCCAGTGAAGGATCCGGGGGCATCCCAGGCTACCAGGAACCTCCATGACCCAGGGCAGGGTACAGCCAACACACAGGGCAAAGGAGGGGGATAGACAAGGTAGTGCACCCCAGGCCCCCACCTGTGGGAATAGAAGAGGACGTCGATGAGGGTGATGGCGATGGCGGGCAGTGTCTCAGGGTCCACAGTGAGGACGCAGAAGCGGTTCTGGGGGCTCTGGATGGGGTGCATCGTGGGGCTGGGCCCTGCAGGGAAGGGACAGACCAGCAGGTGAAAAAGTGCCTGGGGCAGGCACGCCCCCTGGTGGCCGGTCAGGGAGGGAACAGGGCCACCTGGGCTTCCGTCTCCCCTGTGGGTCAGCGCTTGCCCCACACTCACAGACCCGGGGTAGGAGGGACAAGGCGGGCCCTGCTGTAGTGTGGGTGTCCCGGGGCAGCCCTCACCATGCTGAGCGCGGGGGAAGCCGTTGCTGGAATCGTCCCTGACCACGGGGACCGGTTCCCCGCCCACCTCACGGTAAATGTCAAACTCCTGGGCCAGTGTGTGGATTACCACCGAGAGGTCTTGTTCGCGTACCTGGGCCACACACACACACACACAGAGGCAGGTGGCATGTCAGGTGGCTGTCTCAGGGTGCCCTTGCCTCTCCTCCCACCTGTCAGCCCCGGCACCTGCGGGCAACTCACCAGGATGAAGTCTGTCTGGTATGTGGACAGCATCAACACTGACACGTGGTGCTCGGCAAGGGGCGCGATGACGGAGCGGGCGATCTTGGTGACCCCAGCAGCCTGCACAGCCGCCCCGCTGGGAGATGACACACTCAGCACCAGCCACGTACCCTCGGCCACTTGCAGAAACTCAGAAGGGGGTAGCTCTGCGGGCAGGGGCATGAGCTTGGTCAAGGTCTTCAAGATGAGGGTCTATCCTTCCTCATCTGAGCCTTGGGGGAGGCACATCAAAGCCAGGGCGTGGAAACCAGGACGGTGTGGTTATGCGGGCTGAGATGTGCTCCCAGGGCAAACCACTGGGGACTACTGCTTTCCCAGCAAGCCCAGAGCTCTAAGATCACACTGAGATGCAATCCCAGATCTGCCATTTGCTTGAGATGGGATATCAGCCTCAGTTTCCTCATCTGTAAAATGGGACCACAACACACACACACACACACACACACACACACACACACACACGCGCGCGCACACGCGCGCCTCCTTTTCAGTTAGCTACACCCTGCAGCACCACCAGGGGACGCCAGCAGACCAGAATGCTGTTTCTGTGTTGTGGACCTGCAGCACACACAGGGAAGCTAAGGCACAAAGTGGGGCCGCTGTAGGCTGGGGGCCAAGCCCCAGTTGGCTGGCCTGAGCACTTTCCCGGCCAGGCCTGCAGCAGCAGAAGCCAGAGTCAGCTCCAGGACCAGGCTGGTTTCCAGTCCCAGGCAAGGCCTGCCCTGGAACTCCTAACAGGCTCCTATCTTCCTTTCCCAAGCCTTGGATTCCCAGAGCAGCCGGTGGAAAAGGAGGTGATCTGAACAAGGCAGATAAAGCTAGGGAGGAAATCACGCCGCTCCTCCACCCCGGGACTGTGGCCTGGAACCGGAATCCCGCTGCTGGCCCCGAGCCTGCAGGGTGCCCCCCGCCTTCCAAGGGTTTCAAGCCCTGGTGGTAGTAGAGCGGGTGGGGGCAGCTTCCTACATCAGCACCTTTTCCGCCAGAAGGGACACACAGCCAGCCAGCCAGCCAGCGCTGGAGCAAAGAGCAGGACTCGAACCCAGACCCACCGGGCCACTCCCCCTGCTGCTTCCGTCTCCCCACCCCTGAGCGGCCCCTACCTTTAAAGCCCTCGTCGTCCACCATGAGCGTGTAATCCTCGGGCGTCTCGGTCAAGCTGAAGAACTTGCACCTGGTCAGGGGCGGGCGGGCAGCATCTTCAGCCAGGAGTGGACGGGTGGTGGGAGGAGGCTGGACTTCGCCCCATTCGCTGCAAAAGGCACCCCCACCCCCCGACACACACACACACACACCCCGCTGCCCGGGGAATACCTTCCCCCAACCCTCCTCTCCTTACTTCCCCGGTCCAAGGCAAAGGGGAGCGAAGCCCCACTCTGGGACCAAAGGCCATGCTGGCCGCCCTCTCCCCCAGCCCCTCCACACCCAGAGGTGGGGGTGTCAGACCTTTCCTGGGCCCACCCCCCAGGGCAGCTCCTGGGGCAGATGGCAGGCTTCAGGAAGGGATTCCTGCGGGGGGCCTGACAGCTTGAGGTTCAGCGTGGGCCACCCGCGGACTGTGTGGGTGCCCGGACGGGCCCTGGACAGCGGCCTCCGCGGGCCGGATAGGCGGCGGTCCCCGGTGGCGGCCGGGAGGGAGAAGCCTTCCCCTACCCACTCCCTCCACTCACCCACCACCCGGAGCCCCCCACGACCCTCCTCCCGGACCTCCCGGCCCCGGGTGCGCACCGGCTGCGGTGGGGCAGGAAGAGCAGCTTGATGAGCGGGTGGGTGTAGAGCCAGAGCCCGGAGCGGGCGAGGCTCAGCACCCGCACCCGATGCTCCAAGATGTGCAGCTCCATCGGGGATCGCGTGCACCCGACCCCGCCGTCCACTTAGCAGCCCCTGTCCGGGGAGGCGGGGCGGCCGGACTTAAAGGAGCCGCCGGCGGAGAGGCCGCGACCCACGCCGCCCACGACGCCGCGGACCCGCCCCGCCGGGCAGTCCCGGCCGGGCAGTCCGCGCTCCTCGACGGCCGCGCCCGGAGTGACGCGCGGCCTATCCGCGGTGGCCACGCCCCGTCAGGCTGCCAGACCCCGCCCACCGACACGCCCCCCGGGCCGGGCCCCGCCCCTTCCGCTGAGCCGGCCGTGCAGAGTTGTCAGGCTGGACAGGACAGACGTGTCCGCCTTCGGCCGTGCCGGGGCTGCTCGGAAAGGGGGCCGCGCGACACGGAGCGGGCTCCGCCGGGCTCGGGAGGCTGCCCACTCCCCCGAGCCCCCCGGGCCTCCCGAGCCCGAGACGGCAGGCCCGGTGACTGGTTCCCGACCGCGTCCCAGGTGCAAGGACATCACAGCAGAAAGATTGATTTGAAAGAGACAGAGAGCTCTTCCATCTGCTGGTGGTTCACTCCCCAAATGGCCGCTGCAGTGGCAACCTGGGCTCGATCCAGCCCATAAGAGAGGTGGGGGGCACATCGGCGAGGCCAACACGGCTGGTCTGATCAGGTTGAAGCCCCTGGGATGGCCTGGCTCGTGCCTCTCATGTGACTTGCAGGGGCAGAGCAAGTGGCCCCAGGGCTGGGAAGGCCAGAGAATGGTGGGATATGTACTCATGTCCAGTAGAAATAACCTCAGGCAAACCCATCTAAGAGGCTTCAGGCTGCAAACACACACACAAGGCACGTGGGAGACCCTCAAGATAAGCCCAGCAGGGTTAGCCTCGTGGCAGGGCTGGGCATGCTTTGGAAGGGGTCAGGGGTGGGCCTTGTGTGGCCTGGGCATCCTTAAGGTCTGTGATCTCAGTAGGCTGAAGCAGGTCCTGGGCCTCCTGGTGACCCAGCAGGCCCTAGCAGGCCCATTCCGCCTTTGCCAGCTCAGCGCCTCCACCGTAGGGCAGATGGAAGCCTCGATAAGTCTCCTGCCCAGCCTCTGGGGCCTGGTAGGTTCCTATGGAAAACACAGCAGCCGTTGCATCCTGGCCTGTCCCCTTGGAGGGTGGGGGCTAGGAGGGCTGAGCCCAATGTCATCAATGGCAGGTGTAGTTAGGGTTAGGAAGTGGGTGGCCTGTCCAGGATATCCTGGGTTACCCGTCCACCTCCCTGAGGCCTCAGCGTCCCCAGCTTTACCAGGATGAGATGTCCCAGACCCCCAAGAGCCTGCCTTTAGGTTCCTCCCTTCCCCGCCCTGGCGCGGCCCGGCTCAGCTTGGTCCCCTGCCAGGAACATACGCTATTGTTTGACTGGGAAAAGCTGCTTCCTCGGCAGCCAGGGATGGGGGACCGGCGAGGGAGGGGGGAGTCAGGGGAGGGCCCTCTTCCAGGGACACTGTGTCCTGGCTCTTGCCAGGCATCAAGTTATGACAGTTATGACCACTAGGCCTGTCGGTGAGCCCTTAGGTGGCACTCGAATCACCTGGGACTACAACTAGGAAAAGCAGCTGAGTGAGCGAGGGGTCAGGATGGACACCTGACCACCACTCAGCTCTCTCTTCCTTGCCTGTAGGAAGAGGTGGGGAATGACTGCAGAGCCTGGGTAGGCAGGTGACACAGCCAGCCCAAGACCCAGAGGGAGGCCTGGGGCTGCACAGGTGAGGGTTCTTGGGGTACCCTGTTCCAGGGTGTGTTGGGATTCGAGATGGGCATTCTGGAACCCGTCAGGGCCTGTCGTGGTGACCTGGGAAGACCCTGCAGGCACCTCAAGGCACCTGCCCCCCAATCCCTTGGTGATGGTGTAAGGAGGACAAGGCCTGGGGAGCACACCTCGCTTTGGCCAGCATCACCTGCTAGTCCCTGCGTCCCACTGGAGGAGGGGAAGTAGGGATGGGGTGAGGCTGACCCTGGGCGTGGCATCTCCTCTGGCACGGGTGTTCTGGTCTTGGGCTGGGGGCACTCCATGTGATCGGGGATGTGGAGACAATATAGGGGGAGCCAGAATGGCACCCCCTTGCCAGGTCCCAGCTGCAACACCAGCTCTCTACACAAGGCTGTTTATTTCTGTACAAAATCATGTTTCTATTTTACACAAAGAGCACCCTACCCTCTCCCCTCACGCGAGCACCCCAGCTCTGGGGGCAACACCCCCACCCCCCATGAGGAAGGACTGAGTGGGGCCCCACCCACTTTGGCCCTTGCTTTTTTTCTGGCCTGCACTGGCCAGGCCAGCCTGAGCTCCAACCCTAGAGAAAATAAATAAGGAGGCTCAGGCCGAATCTGTGCTGGGCCTGCCAGGCTGTCTCCTGGCGCAGTGGCCAGGGCCTGGGAGGAGAAGGGGGCCAGGGCCCCCTGGAGTGTCAGTCCATGAACCGTGTAGCTGTGTGGAGGCCCCATCTGGAGACCTGAGCTGCCGGGGTTACAAGTAGGTGTCTTCACTCTCCTGCGATGCCAGGCTCTCCTGGGAGCGGTGGTGGGCTGAGTCCTGGGGGGCCGAGTCCTGGGGGGCTGGCTGCTGCGGAGCCAGGTCTTTTGGGGGAATGTCCTCTGGGGGCCGCGCATCTCCTGCAGCGGCTTGATTTGGGGCCGGTGGCTTGTCTGGCTGTCCGCTTGCCTTCGTCCGCTTCCGCTGTTCCTTCTGGGTCTCTTTGGGAGGCTTGGATTTGGCTTTGGAGCCGGGGAGGGGGACGTCTGGAGGCAGGCGGATGGACGGCGAAGGCTGCAGGGAGGGCCGGGGGCCGGGCTCCGCGTCCAGGATAGCCTTGGCACCGTGCAGCCTGGGCGGGGAGCGGCACTGCAGCTCTCCACGGGTTTCTTGCCAGCGCCGCAGCTGGATCAGGTGCTCGCGCTCAATCTGGCGCTCGGTCACGGGCAGCTCAACTATCTGGGTGGGGTGGGGACAGCGATAGACAGGTGGGCACCAGGAAGAAGGAGCCTCCCCTTCTGCTTACGTCAGCATCTGCTGGCCCCGGAGAAGAATGCTGGGAAGGATGTGGTCTAGTCCCAAGTCGGGATCACAAACAGAGGACTGTCCACAGCCTGGGGGCCATCTACCTAGCAGGGCAGCATCTGCTCTTGGCAAGCATGCCCTGCGCCGCCCCTCCTGCCCCGTCCCAGTCTCCACCTGCCCACAGCAGCCCACAGAGCCATCACTTGCCAGCTGGTGACTTCACGGGGAACTGCTTTGTGACCTTGCTTCCATGGGCCTCCATTTCCTCATGTATGGAAATGGGGCTAATGCCATGGCCCATGGCCACTGCTGGAGAAGCAGGTGCAAAGATGGACCAGTGTTCTGCTTCTGTGTTCACTGCCCTACCCCCCACCCCCTAAACCACTGGCCTTGTCCCATCTCCAGCCTGGCCCTCATCTCAACCCACAGAAGCTGGTCACTCCTGTGTCAGCTCATCATAGAAACAAAGAAGAGTACCACGACCTTGAATGTAGGACAGGGATGGGGGGGGACTACAACCTGTGGCTCCCTTTCACTCCCAAGAGGCAGAGTCGGGTCCCTCTGTGCCCCAGTTCCGGTCTCATCATGACAGTAGGACTGGGCTGGGCTGCTCAGCAATGAGGTTAGCATGGTGCTAAGTCCCCTTCTCAAGAGCCCCCTCCCCCTCCCCCTCCCCACCCGCCGCCAGTGGCAAGGGGCAGTGGTGGCCGTACCTCCTGGACCAGGAAGGCCTCCTGCATGATCTTCGGGCTGAGGCTCCGCAGCCGCTCAATCGTCTCGTACTGGCCCTGGCAGGCTTTCAGCTTCTCGGGGGAGCCCAGCGCATGTTTGAGCAGCACCAGCCCCACCCGGAAGATGATCTTGACTCCTGCACGGGGTGGAGGATGAGGGAAGGACATGTGGTGAATGCCAAGGGGGCCTCTCTGGGGCAGACAGAGGTAGCCCGGCCTGCCTGAGGGGTCACCTTCACAGAAGAACATGTCCCAGACGCGGAGCACCGAACTCCAGGGCAGCGTGCGGGCGAAAGCACACATGAACCACTCGGTCATGTAGAGCAGAGGGTCGATCTTCTGGCGGCTGAGGTGCTTGTGGGCCACGGGCGACACCTTCTGCAGCAGCGAGAAGAGGATTTCTCCGTCCAGCTGGATCGCTTCCTGGGAGGACAGAGGGGCCATGGCCTACCGGCTTCAAGTGGGCGCAGATGTAGCGGGGGACAGAGGGAGTGATCAATGTATTGAGTAAACAGGGACTGTCTGGGACCCTCTGCTCCGGGGAATCCACTGGCAAAGCTAACAGCTGAGTGAAAGGAGGAGTTTTCTGGGGCAGAAGGGGAGAGGTTGTGGCCAGTACTAACATTAAAAGTGTGGAGGGACCGTCCATGTCAACAGCCATGGTGGCTGGAGGGCAGCGAGGGAGGTTGAGTGTGGAACCAGGGATGCCGGCACCTAGGAGACCTAACTCTGGAAGGTCTTGGCGCTGCTTTAGCCTGGAGACAAGGGCAGGCCAGAAAGGTTGTGACCTGGACAGGAGTGGTGGTGTAGGGACCAAGGAGGAGCCAAGGAGGTGCCAGGGAGCACTCACCAGCTTCTCACTGTAGTAGCCAGGCAGGTATTTCTCACAGATCTGCACCAGGCACCAGAAGGCTTGCTGTGAGACGGGGAGAGAGACTGAGATCTTGCTGCTGGGGTGCCGCCTGCCAGGCCAAGGTCCAGGGGTGTGTGGCACCTACCTCAGCTGGCATGTGCATCAGCAGGACGGCAGCGATGGGCGCCTGGGCCTGGCAGTAGCCCTCCTCAGGGCGGTACAGCGTGTAGGCCTTCAGCACACGGAACAGGTCCTGCTGGCTACGGACAGGCCAGGCAGGGCAGCGATGATGGGCATGGCTCTGCTGCCCCACTGCCTCGCCTGTGCCCCCCTGCTGCTCAGAATCTGGCCTTTCCTAGAGGGGCAGTGTGCTTTGCTCATGGTCACCAAGGGGTCAGTATCCAGGGCAGCACCTGGGCTCTCACATGACCAGTGTGGCAGGGGAGGGCACAGGCTCAGGGAAAGCAGGGTCAGGGCCAGAGCAGGATGCCAGCCAGCCACAGGGCAGTCAGCTATTGAGGTCTGGGAGGGACGGGAGGGAGGACTTACTCAGCAGCTGTGCCCCCCAGCCAGGCCAGCTTGGCTGCAGCTAACTGTCTTGGTCCCCTTACCTGCCACATCTCTCCCTTCCTGCAAACCTCCCAATGACCCGTGCGCCCCCCCACCCTACCCAAAACTTCTTTCTCTCTGATGAAGCCAGCTTCTAGAAGAGGGCCAAGCCATGGCGACCTCAGCAGTAAATGAAGAAAACAGCCCAGGTGACAAACTCAATGTCCACTCCCTGACAGTGGAGTGCTGGTCCCCCCGACTTCAGGGTCCCCCTGGGAAACTCCCTTTGCCCCCTAGAGGTCAGACCCAGAAGCTCCTCCCAGCCCGCAGGCCCAAGTGGCTCACCCATGGCCACCCCGGGACACAAACATCTCGTGGAAAGGAAACTGCCGGTGTAGGTCACGTTCAATCACATCCAGCCACTTGGGGTCCCCAGGGGACATGTCCAACTCCTGGAAGCAAGGGTGAGGGCACACATGAGGGGCTGGGGGGGCAGAAGGGGACATTCGGGGCAGGGCATGGCCATCACAGGTATCAGAAGATACCCTCTGCTGGGGCAGTGACCATCCAATCCCGCCACGGCAACCTGGGCAGGGGCAAGGATGGAGGGGCTCTAGAAACCAGGTGGTCCTGGCTCTGGGAGCATGAGGACAGAGTGCCCCCTCCAGCCGTAGCTGGGAACAACTGCCCGGCACTTCAGCTTGGCCATATCCCTAAGAAGGAAAGCTGGTTGTCAAAGCCATAGCTACCATCCTGGGCCAGGTGTAGGCAGGGAGCACCTGTGGGCCTCGCTGCCTCCTCCTTTCATTACACCTTGTTCCCAGGTGGGATAACAGGCTCAAGGAAAAGCCCTTTGCCCAAGGCCTTATACCAAAATAATAATAATACAATAAATATATAAACAAACAGTGGAGCTGGAACTAGAGGCAGGCCTGACCCACAGTCATCAACCCCGGCTCCTGGGGCTGCTTGGCTCTCTGTGCTGGCGGCATCTCCTCATCAGGGAAGGATGTGTACAACCCAGTCAGGGTGCTGCTGAGGAGGACACAACATCTGTCGAACCATTATCCTCCGCTGCTCCTCTGGGCGCTGGGGCTTGACAAAGCTACTTTTCTTTGAACTTCCGTGAACATTTTATAGCAATGTCTACCCTTGTGAAAGCAACAATGCTATCACTAAAGGCAAAAATCCTTCTTGGTCCTGTGACAGGCAATCACAGGGAGGACTTGTCAAAACTCATGAACTGCCGGTTCTAGATCATGCCTTTTCCTCTATATAAATGTACACCTAGAAAGAAGCAGCCCGAAGGGAAGGGGCCGAGCAGAGAAGCAGAGTAAGGGCAAGTCAGCTGCAGGGTGGGGACGGCCTCAGGGAATGTCCCTGGGGTGTGTGTGTCAGGGGTTGCCAGGCAAACACATGGAGCAGGAACTGTCCAGACCCTGGCCAAGGCCGGCAGGTGTCCAGCTACAAGCCCATTGCCCCCATGGGCCCCTCAGTTGGGGAGGAGGAAGGATCCGGCATTAAACTGAGGAACCACCAGAAACTTCCGAGTAGGCAGAGGGGAGATGATGGGGCGTGCACCACCTGAATCATACCTCTCACCCCTGCAAACACGCTCAAGTCAGAGGCTAGGGTATGTCTCGTGGACCCCGGGTGCTGTCTGATCACAGTTCATGTTTGCTTTTGTGAGAAAGCAGAGGGACAGACCTTCTGAGGCCGTGGATTAAGCCGCACTTGCACTGCTAGTGTCACATATTAAAATGTGGGTTCAACTCCTGGCACCTCTACTTTCTATCCAGGATTGGAGACCTCGGGAGAGTTCCTGGATCCTGGCTTTGACCTGATGAGAGGTCTCTCCCTTTATCATTCTGCCTTACAAATACGTAATTAAATACAGCTTTAAAAAGGAAAGAAAAAGAAAAGGCAGAAAGGCCCCATGAATTCTCCTGCTGGTTCCCATGAGGCAGGGCCCTCAGAACCCCAGAATCCAGTTTCTGGGTACCTCAGCACCCCAAGGCACCTGACAAGGGGTAGCTGTGGGGTGTCTGAAGTGAGAAAGTGTGGGGTGTGGGTGCTGGCAGACAAATGCTACTGCAGGCACTGGCCAGGGTTATGGCCTCTGTGGCATGCGAGGCGCTGATGACATCATGAGGAGGGGAGCCAAAGAAAACTAGACACCCAAGCAAGGGCGTGCAGGTTCTGTGTGTCCACGGGAGAGGAAGAGCCAGTCACCATGGCCTGCAGCTGGCCTGGACCACCAAGGCGCTGTCAGCCACCTGGGTTGTGGGTTAAATGGCAGGGGAGGCTACCGTGACAACCCCAACCTGTACCCCTGCTGGGACCTCCTCACACCAGTCATCTGCCACACCCCACAGGGCTAGCAAGTCTTCTCTGGAGAGACCACTCTTGCACACACACTGTGGACACGTTTACCACCAGGAGGCTGGCTGCGCTGCCCATGCTCCTGGCATTCACAGCCGGGTTTTGGCAGCCTTAACTAAGCTCCCACCCCATACCGCTGTGAGTTTCCGGTTCTCTCAGGATGCAGCTCCTGGGAACTGAAGTGAAGCAGCCAGTGGAAGACGACCCTGGGGTCTCCAGGCCCACTCTGGTGGGACGCGGTGTAGGTGCTCTGTGACACAAGCAGAGCTGACGTAGGGCTGTCCCCAATCACACACCCCATCAGTGGCCCTGCCCCTTCCCCTCCAGGCCCTAGGGCTGCCAACAAATAGCTTTGGCCCTCTCCAGGTCAGCTGCTCTGCCCTGCCCCCATCCACTCTCCTCAGAGAACAAGTTTGGCAGGACAAGAGTGTTCCCTGAAGCATGAAGTATGTCAACAAAGAACCGGTGGCTGGCAACTCTGCCACTCTGCCTGTCACCAGTCCCAAGGGCCTGGGAGAAATCCCAGTGCCTCGGGCCAGGCAAGCTGGGGTCACCCATGGCTCCCCCAGGAAGGAAACACTGTTCTCCCACAGGCTATGGGGCCGGAGCTGGCAGGACCACGGAGAGGGCAGACAGAGGAAGGAAGGACTCCATCAGGATCCCTCTCTGGCCACTGAGTGGTTTCTGACTCCTGAAGATATTGGTTTGGCTCTGCTACCCCCAGAGATGACGACCCCTTATGGTGGCAGACTGGGCATGAATGGGCTTGGCTGAGGAGGGAGAAGGGGTAGGAGGATGGGATGCCGGCAAGCGCTGAGGGCCCAAGGTAGTCAGGGGAGCAATCTGAGGGGTCCTCCTGACAACTGAGTGGGGAGGCAGCTTGCAGAGCCCAAGGAAGTCCACCCCAGTGTCAAGGCAAAGAGCTAGAATGGGTGGGGCTAGCAATCCATGCATCCGTAGGGGTCTGTCCTCAGAGCAGCACAGCCTCCAGGAGCTACAGGTCCTGACCTGCCAGGGCCCAGACATTGGGTGTGGGGACTGGAGGTGCTGCTGAGGCTCAAGACAACGTGTGGAGGAGTGCTCTTCCAGGGAAACACAGAAGGATGGAAGGAAGGAAGGAAGGGAGGGTCGGTCCGCAGGGAGGGAGACTCACGTCAAACTTTCCTGGGTTCTGCTGCAGCTTCACCTTGCCTCCTGACAGGTACTGCCACGCCCGGCCCCGCAGAGAAGGTGGGATGCCTTTCTGGCACCGGAGGCGGATCTGCAAGGCAGAAGGATGGTTGTGCCAGGTCCCCCAGGCCTGGCTGCCCTCTGCTGGGCCTTGAGCGAGCATTTCAGGAAGGAAAGAGGTCTCTTCCATTTTGTCTACAGAGTGAATCCAGTAGTGGACAGAGGAGTGATGGTCTCTAGACACACTGCCACCAGGTGAGGGCAGAGTCCCACCACTCCTGGTCCAGTGACAATACAGGTGTTCCTGAGGTCTGTGATGGGATTCAGGATCCCATCCCATTTTCTAAAGCAAAATGGAACTGTGTAAAGTTGGGACAAGCCCATGGTCTATCTCTAGGGAAGCAAGTGTGTTGGGTGCCCTAATTACTTCACGGGGAGTGGGAGGGTTGGTTTAAGCAGCTGTGTACCGGACTGGAGCAATCTCAGCAGAGACCTCCAAGATTCCTGCTCTTCTCACCTTGACCCGAAGTTCCCTAGGTCAGCAGCCTGGGACAGCGGTAGCTGGCCTGGGTGTGTGTCTTGCTCTCAGACCTTGCTCAAATGGCTTTTCCTGCCACCCATGGAACAGGAGAAGGCAGGGAGGAAGTGCTGAGTAACTCATTCGGACTGGCTGTTCTTTTCAGACAAAATTGTCTACTGCCAAAACCCAGGTGGAGACTACCACATCTCTTATGAATGGGGCAAAGGAGGAGGTATAGAGTGGGAAAAAGACCCAACTGGGTTTTTTTTTTCCCTGTACCGCACAGCTTCTTGGGTTTTCCACGTAAGTGCCTGGCATGGCACAGGTGAGCACGCAGATGGCTGGCCCCTGGGTTTGGGAGCGGAACGAGGCTCTGATGGTAGCTGTCCGCCCTGACCCATGGGATGGAAAACGGTGACTGGTGACACTCCCAGGGACCCTGCACTGAGCAGCCTGGCCCTGGGATCAAGGAGTTGCGAGAGGGGAGAGTATCTCAGAAAAAGAGAACATCTGAATATGGGTTTGAACCCAGCACTGACCTTGGGCCAATCACATGGCTTAAGGGCAAGATGGAGATGCTAAAACCTGCTTCTCTGCTACGTTGTTGAAAGGGGCTGCATTGGAAAGGATGGGGTTTCGGGGGAACGTGTTGAATTGTGGGATCTGTGTTCAGTAAGCAGAGGCTTCTTTCTTATCTCCCCATCCCTGGGAGATGCTCCACACAGAGGCCTGGGGCCTCGGTTTAGACTTCACTTCCCCTCACATGGAAACCCCCTGTTGTAGTCCCAGTGGGTGCTCCCAGAGCAGGGAGCGCAGAAGGCTGGCCTTCCTGATGAGCAGCGCAAACAAGAGAAAATTTTCCGAGGGTCAGAGAGCGGGTCAAGAACCAGGCAGGAGCCAGGCAGCAGGCAAAGGGCAGCAGGGCAGGGCAGACAACAGCAGGGCCTGGTGGAGCAGCAGAGCTGTCTGGCTGGAGGCAGAGGAAGGGGGCAGAAGGAAATTGCCCCAGACTCTGGGAACTGTTTCCTGCTGCTGTGGGACAGGGAACACCTAAAGAAAACCCCTTTGGGCAGACTCTGGCAAAGGGACTTGGGACAGCTGCACAGGCATGGGGCCCGTAAACTTTCCCTGGGGTAAGCCTGGTGGGAGCACCCCGTGTCAGCACCCTCACTGCAGCCTTGGGGACTGCGAGCCGTGAGCACAACTGGCCCTTCTCGCTCTGGCCTCCAGGATCCTCAGCATAGAGGTGGTATTTACTGGAAGGAGGAAACGGGATAAGGTGCTCCCCAAAAGCACAAAGGAATTCTTCAGGCAACGCCTTGGGAACGGAGGAGGTCTCCGAGGAGAGCTGAGGACAGCCGCACCCTTGCCTGCAGAACCCCAGGCAGGGGCAGGGCCCTCTAAGGAAGATGGTGTTCCAACTGCAGCCCTGCTTGCTGCAGCCCCCAAATCCTGTGCTGAGCAAGGTCAGGAAGTACCAACCCCGGAGCCCCCAAAGCAGGACCACAGAAGAATCCAAGAAGAGGGAGGTGAGGCCTCCCTGAGACAGGTGAGGCTGTCCAGGCTGTGATTCCAGCAGGGCTCCACAGCAAGGCAGGAGAGCCGACGGGAGCAGTGCCCAGTGAGGCCACAGCTGAAGCCGCAGGAGTCGGGTGTGGGCATACAAGTCCCGGTGCGCAGCACAGCAGTGGGCTGGGCTTCTGGGCAGGGTAAACGAAAATGTGTCTCTATTGGGCTCTCAGCCACAGTGCCAGGGAAGCAAAGGGGAAGAGGAGATGCTGCTGGCCATGCTGCCAAGAATGCCCAGGGCTCCCCTCTGGGATCCCTGTTGGCAAGGGAGGTTGGGGGCAAGCCACGGGCCCTGGCAGCCAGCAGTGACAACAAATGGTTAGAGAGCAAGCCACAGCCAGGCTGCGTCAGGGAGCGTGATAAGGCAGGAAAACAGACCTCAGAACCAACCAGGCAGGAAGCGGTTGAAGAATAACTGCCTTAAAGGAGAGAGAGAGAGAGAGATGAGGATTTTTCTAAATCAACAAAAGCAGAATGCCCCAAAGTTCATGAAAACAGGAAAAAAAAAAAAGACCCAGTCTGGGGCCTGGGTGAGCCTCTCCAGCTGCAGCCCCAGGCCTTAATGTCTAGGAAGCACCTATGGTCACCACCTCACGGGAGCCTTGTCCAGGATTATCACTCACACCTGAGAGAAACTGAGACGGGTGCATTTGTGTGGTGACTTCCCCAAAATTACACAGAGGCATGGGGCATTAGTATGATGACAAGAGGAAGAGGGTAGGACTGGGCCAAACCTGTACCCAACGTGGGTCTTAAACTTGCCACTAGGCCTCAGGCCAGCTGTGCTAGCCTGGACTGGGATTAGGACATGTGGACCCAGTGGATGATGGGGTCCAAAGGGTTTATTCTGCTGCCCGGGAAACTTGTACAAAGGCATTCCCGGGGGAGACTCTGGACAGGCCTCATCGGGAAAGACAGCACATCCTGCCAAGGATGGCCTGGAACATGGACTGTCATGCAGTTTAAGAGCGGTGGCAAGGATGCTCTCTCGTGGGGCGACAGGAGCAGGTGGGGCGACAGGAGCAGGGCTAGCGCCTTCAGACAGAAGGGCGAGGAAGGGCTAGGGGAAGGGCTATAGCTGCTTTCCTTTTCATCAGCTTGTCGGGAAACTGTGTTGCAACTTCACTTTCTTGTTGCATTTTTTCCAAGAGCCAAGAGGGAAGTGATCAGTTTAATCTGGAAGATGCCCCAGGCCCCCTTACTATGGTGCTTAAGTGGGGCAGGTGTTGAAGTCACACTGCCTGGGTTCAGATCTTGATTCTTAGGTCACCCCTCAAGTGGGGTTACCACCACCACCACCCCCCACACCCATGTGCAGTGTGGATGAGGTCTACTGCACATGCTCACACCCATCAGCTAAGAGGTGGCTGGTGGTGGCACTTACAGCTTTCTCCCAGGAGGGCCACAGGTCACTGCACATGCAGCTTTGAGGTTTCACCCGAGGACCAAGCACTGCATGAATCTGAAATTACCTCCAAGAGCCCAACCTTCACTTGGGCTCTCAAGATCCCAGCCTCCCTCCCACTCTCCAGCCAGTTTCTGCCCCTCATCTGGCAGCTGGAGGGCACCGGAGGCAAGCCCTGTCCCCTAAGCTGACACAGCTGCCCCTCCCCCGCCAGACCTCACCTTTTTGTGCTTCTTGGCCATCCATTTGTCCCAGTTGTTGAGCATGTCCAGCCACTTGGACTCTCTCTGCCTCAGCACCTCCAGGGGTACTTCCTCCAGCCTGTGGAGCAGAGGGCAGGGCCGTCAGATGTGCCCAGAGAAGCAGGGCCCGGCTCTGGCTCTAGCCTCCAACCCCAGCCTGGTTACACCTGCACTGCCCCTGCTCTCCATCCCTGCATGCCCTCTGGGACTAACTTACAAACGGCCCCCTGTCTGTGACCGGGAATGCGCCCTCTCCCTGGGAGTCAGAGACCAGACAGACACCTGCCCAGTTTGTGAGCCTACTCGCCCAGGGTGATCAGAGGCTGGAGACTGGTAAGTCTTGGTAAGGGAGCTGCTTGCAAGGGCCTGTGTGCCAGGTGCAGGGCTGGACACAAAAACTCATCTAACAAGTACAGAAACAACACACTCACCTCTTCACTGGAGCCAAACTGCTTACTCCGAGATTCCCCCAGTTATGCCTTGGGCCTTTCCTGTCTCACAACCTTTACTCATGCCAGATCCTTTGCCAGAACGCTCCCAGAATCGTCTCCACCTATTGCAATCCTACATACACTTCAAAGCCCCAGCCAACACCAACGCCTGTTTGTATTTGTCCAGTATCTACTGACTGAGCAGTTATCTCACTGTGCTGGCATTGTTCTAGGGTCAGGACCTCCTGCAGGGAGCGATGAGGGGCTAGGAGGGGAGAGATGCAGTCCTGTGACCAAAACAAAATCTTGATCCTCATGGAGTTGATGTTCTGATGGGCAACAAAGTGTGTGGGGGGGAAATATCTTGGCATTAAACCTCCCTGCAGGCGGGCAGACCTGCACCCAAAGCAAGCTGAGGTGAGCAGGGAGTCCCTGGCTTCATTACACAGTGCTTTAATAGAGCGGGCTTCCTGCCAAGGCGCAAGGCCCTGGGGAATGCCTGAGTTCACAAAACCGAGGGGCAGAGAGAAGGAAGAGGCCACCATCCGTGGGACTGGCACTCCCCACAGGCTTCCTCTGGGGCCTGCAGGGCAATACTGACGGCAATCAACCAGAGTGTGCGTGTACCTCTCTACACACACTCACACACTCTTACAGTTTAGAGTGGTGTGACTGTAAGATTTTTTTTACATTTCTTTGTGTGTATGCATGTGTGTGTGTGTTTAATTTTTTTTAAGTTGATAGTATTAACAAAATTAAACGTGTATGACAGATAAGGAAACAGAAACTCAAAGGGGTAAGATTCACAAGGACAGTTACCTTGTTCAGTGTCAAGATCAGTGGAAAAACTTGGACTCAAGATTCAAATCAGCTCCCAGCCCGAAGCCAGCAGCCAACCCTGCCTGACTTCCCAGAAAGGAACCCGGGGGTCGGAGGCTCTCAGGGCAGCACGGAGGAGCTTGCGGGAACAGGACGTGGTGGGGCTGGGGCCTGACCCGGGCCTGCGCTGTGCGATTCTTTTGCTGCCGGAAGGAAATGGGCTGCTGTGACTGACTGGTTGGAGAGTGGAGGGCGGGGCCCCTGCAGAGCCGAGGCTTCCCAGATCCGCAGGAGTTAGGTCCTCATCTTTGCAGCACTTGATCATTTAACTGTCCGGGCCTTGCAGGGCGTGCAGTCCTGAGCAGCTGGCCTGAGAAGGCCACCCTCCTGGAACTGTTGCTACTCTCCTCAGCTGCAGGCACCCTCTAGAGGCACAAGGGCCAGTCCCTTCCTTGGGCTTCTACAGCCATGTGGGAGACCCGGATGAAGCTTCTGGCTCCTTGCTTCAGACGGGCCCAGCTCTGGCTGTAGTGGTCGCTTAGGGAGTGAACCAGCAGAGGGAAGATTCTCCATCTCCTCCTCTTTCTCTCTCTCTGCAATAATTGTGACTTTCAAGTAAAATTAAAACAGCTTAAAAGAGATGAAGAAACGCAGAGACCAAATTTTTTAGCTTGCCAGTTTACAAAAGGGATGCGTAACCCCAAACATCCAACGGGGCAGAAACCAAAGGCCCACGCTCTCCAGGTCATTACACCTGCCATGACCCATGATGCACTTGCTTATGCAACAAGTCAGGGGACAAGCTTCCTTGTTAACCAAAGGAAAGGGAGCCCACACTAAGTCAACACAGGGAGTTTTGGCTTCAGATAATATTTGCTCCAACCCTTTTGTGGTACAGATGGGGAAACTGAGGCGCTGAGAGGACCCAGCCTTCCCCTGAGATGATCCGTTTCTAAACATTCCTATGTGATTAAGATGGGGCATCTCAACCCCTGGCTCTCCCTTGTATAAAATCCTTACTGCAGTGCCTGGCTGATACCCATCCCCCCAAGTGCAGACACACAGAGGAGCATGCTAGCTAGCTAGAGGGTTTTTTTTTTTTTTTCTAACTGATGCCAGATAACAGCTTTGGCAGTTTTAAAGCCCCAGCGCCAAACCTCAAACCGGAATTTTACAACAGGGTACAAAACAAATGACCATATTTCCTGGATTCTAAGATACCACTGATTTTTTTTCCTAAGATTTATTTATTTTTATTGCAAAGTCAGATATACAGAGAGGAGGAGAGGAGGAAAGACAGAGAGGAAGATCTTCTATCCGATGATTCACTCCTCAAGTGAGTGCAATGGCCAGTGCTGAGCCGATCCGAAGCCAGGAGCCAGGAACTTTCTCCAGGTCTCCCGTGCGGGTGCAGGGCCCCAAGGCTTTGGGCCGTCGACTGCTTTCCCAGGCCACAAGCAGGGAGCCTGATGGGAAGCGGTCACTGGGATTAGAACCTGGCGCCCATATGGGATCCCAGAGATTTCTAAGTGAGGACTTTGGCCTTTAGGCTACTGCGCTGGGCCCGTGAACACCACTGGTTTTAAGTTACACCATTGATTTAGCAAGATCATGCCAGGAACAAAAAAGATCGCTTTTTTTTTTTTTTTTTTGCTTTTTTAAAAAGACTTTTAAAATTTATTTTTACTGGAAAGGCAGATCATATTTACGGAAAGAAAGAGAGATAGAGAATGATCTTCCGTTTGCTAGTTCACTCACCAAATGTCCCTAAATGGCCAGAGCTGAGCTGATTCAATCCAAAGCCAGGAGCTTATTCCAGGTCTCCCACACAGGTGCAGGGTCCCAAGGCTTTGGGCCGTCCTCTACGGCTTTCCCAGGCCACAAGCAAGGAGATGGGTGGGAAGTAGAACAGCCGGGACACAGATTGATGCCCATATGGATGCAAGGTTAGGATTTAGACATTCAGTCATCATACGAGGCCCACAAAAAACTATTGTTTTATCAATTAAAAGATCTAGCTTGATTTAAAAGAGCTTTTAAATTTTTATTCTTGTTCATTTGAGAGAGAGAGAGATAAAAGTGAAAGGAGGAGACAAAAGAAATCTCCTATTTGTTAGTGCACTCTACAATGTCCCCAGTGGCCAGGGTCTGACCATGCAAATGCTAGGACCCCAGAACTCCTTCTGGGTCTCCTGGATGGTAGCATCGAGACCCGGATGGTAGCATCTGAGTACCTGAGTTATCAGCTGCCGTGTTCCGGGCTGTATATCAGCAGGAAACTGGAAGCTAGACCAAAAGCTGAGGGAGACTTGAACCTAGGAAGCCTGAGACAGGGTGTGGGCAGCCCAAGTAGCATCTTCATAATGTTCCAAATAGCCAACCTGTTGTGATCTGTGAAATGAAGTTGGGGTCGGGGGGGGGGGGTCCCTGACAGTGTGGGGGCCCTAGGGTGACGTCCCCCTGACAGAGGAAAGAAGGCATGAGCTGGTCACTGGTGACACAGAGGCCGATCCAGGATAAGGGGCCTAGTGGCTGCTGGGTAATGCTTCATCTGAGAGCCTTATACTGCAGAAAACCCTGTTCCCTAGGTGGCCTGACGGGATCTGGGGACCCAGTCTCTACTGGAAGCTCTGCAGGGATGCGGTCACCCCCCTATAGCTGACCCGTTTCTACTGTTACAACATTCCTTACTTTATATCCAGATTTTACCAGGGGCATGCAATCCCCAGATTCCTTTCCTATTGAATGTATCCATACTCATCCCTTGTTATCCACCCATCCTTCGCTGCAATGTCTTTTCTTCTCCCCTCCTCAAGCCACAGTAACCCTTCAGAATCCAATACATTAAAAATCAGAACCGGGCCCGGTGTGATGGCCTAGCGTCTGAAGTCCTCACCTTGAATGCTCCAGGATCCATATGGGTACTGGTTCTAATCCCGGCAGCTTCACTTCTCATCCAGCTCCCTGCTTATGGCCTGGGAAGGCAGTGGAAGATGGCCAAAAACCTTGGGACCCTGCACCCACATGGGAGACCTGGAGGAAGTTCCTGGTTCCTGGCTTTAGATCGGTTCAGCACTGGCTGTTGCAATTACTTGGGGAGTGAATTATCGGACGGGAGATCTTCCTCTCTGTCTCTCCTCCTCTCTGCATATTTGACTTTGAAATAAAAATAAATAATACAAGCTCCAGCTGCTCTGCTTGCGATCCACTTCCCTGCCGATGCGCCGGGGAAGCAGCAGGTGGTGGTGTCAGTACTTGGCTTCCTGCCACTCACTTGGGACATCCAGATGGCGATTCTGACTTTTGGCTTCAGCCTGGCCCAGACCCAGCTATTGCAGACATTTGGGGAGTGAATCAGCGAATGGGTCTCCATTTCCTTTCCCTGTCAATCTGGCTTTCACATAAACCTTTGGAAAGATGAGAACTACAACAACAGGAATAGGCTTAGCAACAATAGTTATCTCTTGTCCATTATTTGTTACTTACCATATTCTTTCTCAATATGCCACACAAGCATTTCATAAAAATCCTACCTCCAAGTCACTCTCTCCTTTTTTAAAAAAGAAGATTTATTTATTTTTATTGCAAGGGCAGATTTACAAACAGAACAGACAGAAAGATCTTCACCCCCCAGGGGCCTGCAATGGCTAGAGCTGAGCCGACCGGAAGCCAGAAGCCCACAGCTTCTTCCAGGTCTCCCACGCAGGTGCAGGGTCCCAAGGCTTTGGGCTGTCCTCAACTGCTTTCCCAGGCCACAGGCGGAGAGCTGCATGAGAAGTGGAGCAGCTGGGATATGAACCAGCACCCATATGGGTGGAGGATTAGCCAGTTGAGCCATTGTGCCAGCCCCCATTCTCTCCTTGCAGTATAATCCAAGACTTAGTAAGGTTAAGTGCCTAGCCAAAGACCAGCTAGCTGTAAGGGTAGAACTAGGTCTCAAATCCAGGCCTGCCTGATTCCACTGCCCACGCTCTTGACCTTTGCACTACATTCTGCCTCCCAGGACAAGGGCAAAACATGGTCCACACACCTGCCTGCCTTTCTCTCGAGACTTGTTTTCCAACTAAAGACACGTCTTGGCTTAGAATATCACTTCTTACACATTTCAAACTGAGACCCTAAGGAAGAAAAACATTTTCTATTGAGTTTATGCACGTACACAATGGAAAGCATGTTTCACGAAGCAAGTTCTCCTCACGTGTGCTGATGCACTCAGTGTAATAGCACCCTAATTTCTTTTCTTTTTGATGCTGGCCACAATCTCCTAAAACTTGTCTCGGTACCAACTCACGAACAGGTCAAGACATGAAGTCTGAAATGAACATTTCATTACAACTGGTTCAGCACTGGCTCTCTCACACTGATCCAGGTCTTCAGCATCCATCATTCTCATCACATGCCTTACAGGTACCTAACAGGTGCCTGCCTGGTTTCTGTATGACATCATTACTTTCATTGGCACTGCATCCAGGGCTGTTTCTGTCTGAAGCAATTCTACATGTTCTCCTAATAATCCCACAGAGCCTTCACAGATATTTATATTTTTAAAGATTACTTATTTATTTTGAAAGTCAGAATCGGGATGGGGAAGGGAGGAAGAGAGATCCTCTATTTGCTGGTTCACCCTCCTCATGGCTACGACAGCCAGAGCTGAAGCCAGGAGCCTAGAGCTTCATCTGGGTCTCTGACATAGGTAGCAGTGACCCAAGCACTTGGGCCTTCTACTGTTGCTTTTCCCAGGCCATAGGCAAGGAGCTGGATCAGAAGTGGAGTAACCAAGACAAGAATCTGGGGTTACAGGTGACAGCTTTAGAAGCTATGCTATCAAGCTGGCCCCAGATTAAGTACTACTTCCATTTGGTTCATGAAACTTAAGACCCAAGCTGACCAGATAGCTTGTATGATCTAGCCAAAACCACATGTTAAAAAAAAAAAAAAGTGGCTGCACCAAGGCTTCCCCCTACCACAATGACTCGTGTGCAGCCTCTGACTTCCCAGGGGGAGGCTCTGGGGAAATCAGGCCCTTATCTAGATGCCACTGAGTGGCTAAACCCTAGTCCCCAGGGCCCCTGGAGACAGTCTAACTCCCTCCTCCAAAGCTCTCACTGCCCCTGTCAGGGGTCTGTCCATTCCTAGCAAGATAGTCAGACCAATGTGCTAGATGGGGATGGCAGAACCTTGGCTGGAGATGGCAGGGCTGGGAGATTAGCCATTTGCTGGCTGCCCCCTCTCCTGAGGGACACAAGAGGACACAAAGCCTGTGTTGGGCTGCCAGGCCACAGCCTGGCCCAAGGCAGCAGTGACACTCCGCTGACACCACACTCCACGGGATCGTGCTTCCCTGAACTTCTCCTGAAATACAGAGGCCGGCAG